AGTGTCTATGTTTACGTTCTGAAACTCATTGCTAACGGAATGGGTTTACTTATAGCTAGGAAACCTAACATACAATTCACGTGGCTCTAGTATATAATATTAAGACAGTTGGAATACCAATTTAGTACTATATTGTTAATATTTAGCTGAGTTGAGACTCTATATTGTATTTCAATTATTCAGAATATCTACGTTTTAGGTATTTTCTCAAAGATTATCTCGATTAAATGGTTGTCATTTTAATGTCATTTTTGTTGATCACAACTACATGTCTTAATTTTTTTAATTTGTTATGATCTTTTAAGTAAAATTCGTAGCAAGCCACACAAGATGTCCATTACATCATGTTATTCTGAGAATCCGTCAATAGAAGGAGACTTCTACCTAATATGTTATCTTTATTATAACTTTTCCCAAAGCGACAATGTATCATCAAGGATGGTATATGTCACATATGGTAACCAATTACCAAACAACTTTTACCAAAGTGGTAGGTGTTGAGCGATTGAAGTGGTGGATCGACAAAGTGGCAATACCAAAGGATCCCATAGCATTGCTATGGTATTGCTGTTATATTGATTTTTATTGCAGTTATATTGTAGTGGTATTCCTTTTGTATTGCTATGGTGCTATTATATTGATTTTTATTTTTTTTTGTGTTTTATTGATATGTTACTATAATTTAATATGAATATATGTTGATATCATTTTTCTTTATCTACTTGTGATTTGAGTAGGAGTTGGGATTATTCTTGGCTGAAGTATTATTTACGATCTCTCTCTCTCTCTCTGCTCTTCGTATTTTTCTCAACATTTATGTGTTAATTTAATGCTTGGTATTATTTTGGAACCATAATCATTGTCAATCTCATTGTTTCTTTAAAAGATTACTATGAAATTGTTACTCCATTTTCTTCTTTCCTTTGTTTTAAGATATTTTTGTTTGGAGAAAAAGAACTTTGTTTTTGTAATCTAAAAGACTAGGTACTCATGGTGAGTGTTTTCTTATCAACAAGATCCAGGATTTATGTAGGTCAGTTTTCTACTTTTGCACTTAAACTTTGGTTGTCTAAAATTTGAAAAGTCTTGTATGCCAGCAGGGATCTATGTCACACATCTTGGATAAGAGGTATTCTTCAATTGTGATAGTTTGCTATGTTGTACGTATTCAAACTGCCTCAAAATGTTTTCATTGGTGTCTTGAGTTCAATACCGACAAAAGTTTTTAAATGACAAGAAATTATGAATAGCTTATACATAACAGACATATAGTTGTACATAGCTAGAGTGTATATTTAGAAGATGTCATTATGCTTCAAATTAGAAAATTTGTGGGGTGAAAGCACAATGGTTGATATGTCATTCTGCATTTGATGAAAATAATTGATGACTTTGTATGGAAGTATACTCATTAAATATCTTAGATTCTATCAATGAAAGAAATATTTGCCTTTGAGAGCTTCAGGTTTTTTGGTTTGTTTTATCAAGTATCTTATATTCTATAAATGAATGAAATATTTTGGTAGATTGGAGAGACTAGTCAGCTAGTGGATTTTGGATCATCACTTTTGAGAGGGGACTAGGCTTGAGCAACTGCAAGAGTAAAAGGGATGATGCTTCATGTAAATTCAACAATTAAATAGGAGATTTTTGTTTTCAATTTGTTAAGTCTTGAGATACTTGGTCATTTTTTAAGATTACGTGAAATAAAAAAAACTTGTATTGAATATTATTGTATAGGAGACCATGTAATTATTTTGATACCATTAAATGAAATTTTAATTCAATTTCCTTGAAAACTTTGGGATCTTGAGCAAGAGGCAGTCACGTACACGACAGTTTTGAACATAAAAGACGACAATGTAAGAATGGTTAATTTTGACGATATCCATAGTTGCTTCCACTCCATTATAATGTCATGTAGATTATAAAGTGACAATAGACATTCAATACAAAAGCAATATGAAAGCAATAAACAAGTAATAAAGCGGCAATAGACAACCATTGCAAAAGCAATAAAATGGCAATAAACAAATATTTTATGGATGTCTTTGTTCTCTCTTTCCCATATTATATAATGTTCTAATTGTTGAACTATTACAATATTTAGTTGCTACAGATAATAAATAGTACATAAAACATAATAACCATGTATGAAAATTTCATATCATTATAATAATGACCTCAAAAACAATATCAAGCACATTACACAAATATTAGAAACATACAACTCCACAAGAAGAATACATAATATCTTAGATGTCCTTACTAATTCTTGGGGCCTAATAACAAGCATAATCAATGATGTGTACAGTTTGCTACAAGTTTGCTTAGGATTTTCATAATAGAAGCTTTGCTTTTGTTTTCAGAGGGCATCTCAAAGAACTCATTGTCTACACATTACATTATACAGAAAATGGTCTCCAATGCCAATGTATGACTTGCACATCAGTGTCTGCACAAACCAGCTAAAACACATTGTGTAACTGTTAACCTCAAATTTGTTCTTCATTAGGAAACGAGTTGGGTGCGGCTTTTCTTTTCCTTGTGCAATTTGAAAAGAAAAAGAGAAAGAAACATAAATTGTCAAGACAAAACTGCGGCAAATTAAAATTTGGTCAAGTACTCACCGTCGGGAAACAATATGCTTTCAATGAATAAATAACATATTAATTTCAACCAACACTACTACACAACTCATCTCATAAACATGATTGAGATTTGACAAACATAAAGGTAGAAGATTCAATCCATTAAAACACTCACATGCAAAAAATGAACCTAAATTATACGCCAACTCAAGCTACAAAAACCCAACTTGTTGAGCACTAGTCAACAAGTTTTATAGGCAAATTGAAATCAAGTAAAAATTACTTCAGCAATAATACCTTCATTTTTTCAACCAAAAATGCCAGCTTCCTTTCAATCAAAAAGCACATTCAATTAGTCCCAAGATGTGGGACATCGATACCTAGTCTTTTAGATTACAAAAACAGAGTTCTTTTTCTCCAAACAAAAATATCTTAACAAAGGAAAGAAGAAAATGAAGTAACAATTCACAACAATCTTTTAAAGAAACAATGAGATTGACAATGATTATGGTTCCAAAACAATACCATACATTAAATTAACACATAAATGTTGAGAAAAATATGAAGAGCAGAGAGAGAGAGAGAGATTGTAAATAATACTTCAGCCAAGAATAATCTCAACTCCTACTCAAATCACAAGCAGATAAAGAAAAATGATATCAACATATATTCCTATTAAATTACAGTAACATATCAATAAAACACCAAAAAAATCAATATAACAGCAATACCATAGCAATACAAAAGCTATACAATACAACCGCAATAAAATCACAATATGATTGCAATAGCAAATCAACAATGCTACCTCACTATGATATAATTATAAGTTCATAGAAAATCCCAATACCAAATGCAAGAATCAATCGACAAAGAACAAACACATTTGTTGTTTCAGACAAACAAAATCAATCCCAATACTTCACTTTCTACGCAAAATACAGATGAAATCAATCACAATTCCAAATTCAGTTATCAAATTCAATTTAACATCAAAACTTACATATTCCCAACAATTCATTTTCTGGAGAAGCTGTTCTTGAAGAGGGCATGTAAACCCAAACTTCAAAACCCCCCAAAATTGGACCAAAATGCTCAAACAATGGCCACCTAATGCCAAGACATACTGTCATATTCAGAAAAGATGGTTTTGTTTGGGTTTGTTTAGGTTGCAAAAGGGATTCGAAGAGAGACGAAGTTGGGGTTTGGATTTGGGTAGAGAAGAAAACAGAGAGGAAGAGGAAGAATTGGGTTTTGAGGGCAAAGCTGTGGGTTTTGTAGGTTGTCCTTGATCTTCTTCTTCGTGAGAAAAGGGAGAAAGGGGGGAGAAAAGAAGAAGAAGAAGAGAAAAACGGAGAGAAGAGAGAGAGAGAGAGAGAGAGAGAGAGAGAGAGAGAGACAGAGCAAGCTACCACAGAGAGAGTGAATAGGGAGCTGAGCGAGCTGAGAGAGAACTAAATTTTAGAGAAAAGTGATATGTGTGCAATAAGTGGACAATAAATATATATTTATAGGTGATAGTTGCAAAAAAATTGGGGAGAGATGGTATTTTCAGAAAAAAAAATTATAAAAATGGTGGCATTTAGAGCTATTTCCCAACATTAAATAGGCCACATGTGCTACGCAAGTGTGGCTTTTTGTGTATTCCTCCATCGAGACTCTATAAAAAAACTAGTAACAAATGTATAAAGGAGAAAAGAAAATAGTATAACTTAATTAGTGGCAGGACCAAGAGGACTAAACTAACTAGCTTTCATGAAGACCTTGTCTTGATCCAATGCCAACAAGGGGCCCAAAGAACCACCTTCTTCATCATTCACAAGTACTTAGATACGGGGCCAAGGATATAGACCCTCTGAAAATCAGACTCACGCACCATTTTCATCCTCATTAGCAGCAACAAGAGAGCAATGGAGAACAGAGTGGCTGGTGAGGAGCCTGAGGATCCTATCCATCATCATGGGTGCCTCAGAATTCTTGGTGCCAATCTTGGCTGCGATCTTAGACGAAGAGAGCTTGGCGCCTGGACCCTCTCTGGCTATGATGTCAAAAACGCCAAGCTCAATTGCTGATTGCAGAGATATGGACAGCGCAGAAGAACCCACCAGCTGCATGGCATAGCAGAAGCTTTCTTCTCTCTTCCTTCGTAATTTCATCCCCAGGCTCAACAGGTATAGCGAGCAGCTATACAATTTTTTTTTTAAAAACCTAGTATAGCCGGGCTATACTATTTTAAAAAATACAAAAAAAAATTACTCAAGTATAGCCGGGCGGTTATACTATTTAATAAGATAAAATTAAAAAAAGAGGACCTGCCTAGCGAAGGTGTCAAAACAAGTATAGCCGTGCGGCTATACTATCGTAAAATTAAAGAAATAAAAAACCCCGGTATAGCCGATGGTTGATTGAAGAAAATGGAAGGAAGGGAAGGATTCTGAGGAGATAGAGAGAGGAAGAAAGAGCCTTCATCCATAGAGGAGCATGTGCATGCCAAATTCTCTAGAGAATGAAAGAAAGGATTCTGACTATTCAAGATTTTAGATTGGTATATATTCGTTTGTAGTTAGGCATAAAACCTAGGTTTTCTTTCTCTCTCCCCCCTTATTCTCTTCTCTGTTCGCTCTCTCCCAAACGACCTTGTACGATCCGAATTCAGTGTTTTTTCTTATATTGATTTTATCAATTCGTGCACCAGTTCATCTTTACTCCTAGAGTTCTATTTCCATCAGATTGTTATGCTTTCCTTTATCTGAAGCAATAGATATATTTGATTGTATTCGTGGTAGATATATGATTCTGGGCTTCCAATTGTTGTGGTTGGCGTCTGGTATTATCTGTAGTATTTTGTAAGCTCTACAGTTAATCCATACACCATTGTGCTTATTCTTGCAATCATATTATGTCTCCTATGCATAATCCTCTCTTAAATGATGACATAACAAAAGAAGAGGATAGAAGAAAAGGGGCATTTGGAAATCTCTGCAAATTGAGTTTTTGGCTTCTTTTTTTCCCCTTTCAAAAGTACATTCTTAAGGTGTTCATTAAGGATTCTTTGGTCTTCTTGATGACAAAATGTTTAGCAATTTGACCATTAATTGCCATTTGATTTGACAGAGTATCCGAATGGCAAACCCGGTGATTGTATGCTCCCATACTGTGAATGGTGTTTCCAAAGTACATCCAGAATTGCTAAAAGCAAAATTATTCAAGGTACTATATATGTGTTCCTTGGATTGTTGTCTTTTCCCTTGGCTTATGACAAAGTTGAAGATATCCAAATTCGTATGATACCTTAGATTAGGTCATCTGACACCTCTTCTCTTTCACAGGACTTCTATGAGCTGTGGCCTCAGAAATTTCAATGCAAGACAAATGGTGTTACCCAGGTATAAAGTTCATAGCATCTTTTATAAAGTACTTGCTAGTTTCATTAGACTATTCCTTCTGGGAATGGTGAGACACACACCTCCAAAGATGGTTTTGATGGCTTTTTTAGTTTGTGCTGTTATAGTTATCAAATAGGGCTTATGGAGCAGAGTGCTCCACAGAGTAAAATAATCTGCAGACTTTATGTGCAGTTCTAAGTCTGAAATATTTTCTTGCTTATAGATAAGAAACATTTGCCAATCTTTTATTAGGCTTGGAGACTTAACTCCTTCATTTTAGTGTGTAAGTTTTCATATGCCTTGGTTACTTAAAGAACTCCATAACCCAAAAGTTACAGACAAAACATTCATATCTGATGCCACTAAATCCAGCACCAGTTGCCAGAGCCATGAATTCTTGTTCACTCCTCTCCTTCCCTCCCGGATTTTGAGTCATCATCACCACATCAAGTTGGGAAGTGGTTTTCGTAGCAGTGCTAGTCTCTGGCATAGCTGGAAGAAGTGCTTCCACAACAATCACTTTTCCATTGTCTGGAATAGCTTTGTAACAATTCTTCAACAGCTTTAGGCAGTGCTCATCACTCCAATCATGAAGTATCCACTACAAACAAATGTGTCAGAAGACAAGTAGAACAGATTCATATATTTAGTTACCATTCTTAAACTAAAACAAGAAAACCAAAACTTTAATGCCTGAGAAATCCAAAAATTACCTTCATAAAAATGGCATCACCACTTGGAACACTAGCAAACATGTCTCCTCCAACATGTTCCACTCCTGCCAAAAAAAATATATATTTAACTTCCATTTTATATATGCTGCATACTGCTTCCGATGAAGCAAAAACTAAGATTTCACATTGAATCAAATAAATTAAAGTCCTACCAGGATAGGAAGGGGCATGATTTACGACATGGGGCAAGTCAAAATTGATACCCTTTATATGTTGATATCTAGATGTGATCAGATTAAGGGTCACTCCCAAACCACCACCAACATCAACAAGTTGTGTGAGGTTCTTGTCTTCAAGACCCTTGTAGATATGAAGAAGTTTCTTGATGACAATGGTGGTGTGGTTAAACATTGCTGTGTTGAACACTTGATTAAACCTGGGGTCCAAACCTGGATACTCAAAAGCGTGCATGCCATGGACCCTGTTAAATGGAATTCCTCCTTCAACAACTGCATCTTTCAGTTGAGACCTGTGAATTTATTATGTGTAGAAAGTTGGAGTTAGATAGGGCCTTTCTTCTATTATTGGGTGGACCATGTATAATTTTAATAGTTACTTCCCTAGCTAAGATTCCCAGACTGACTTTAATTATGCCATTTTTTAAGGAGTGAGATTGTCTGTAAATATGGGTATAACAATGAGTCAATCCCCTTACACCCAAGTTCGATCATTCCCGAGTGGTTTTATGGTTTCCCTATTATACTAATTTTAATATAATCATGTGTAATGCATGTGCCAATATATTAATCAAACTTAAATAATGATCATAATAATTAGTCAAAAGATTAAAAATAAATGAAGAAAATATAGAAAATGAAAGAGGATTATTAATTAGTAGCAGGGGCAAGAGGGCTTAAACTAACCAGCTTTCCATGAAGACCTTGTCTTGAATCAGTGTCATCAAGGGGCCCAAAGAACCACCTTCTTCATCATTCACAAAGTACTTAGACACAGGGCCAAGGCTGTAGACCCTCTGAAAATCAGACCCACCATTAGCAGCAACAGCAGAGCAATTAAGAACAGAGTGGCTGGTGAGGAGCCTGAGGATTCTATCCACCATCATTGGTGCCTCAGGGTTCTTTGTGCCAATCTTGGCTGCAATGTCAGACGAAGAGAGCTTGGCACCTGGACCCTCTCTGGCTATGATGTCAAAAACCCCAAGCTTAATTGCTGATTGCAGAGACATGGACAGCGCAGAAGAACCCACCAGCTGCATGGCATAGCAGAAGCTTTCTTCTTCCTCTTCCTTTGTAATTTCATCCCCAGGCTCAGCATGATTTATTTTGGGATGGCTTTTTCTCTCCAATGAAGAATCCATTGGACTGTCTATGTTTACGTTCTGAAACTCATTGCTAATGGAGTGGGTTTACTTATAGCTAGGAAACATGACATACAATTCACGTGGCTCTAGTATATAATATTAAGACAGTTGGAATACCAATTTAGTACTATATTGTTAATATATTTAGCTGAGTTGAGACTCTATATTGTATTTTAATTAGTTGGACTATCCATGTTTTAGGTATTTCCTCAAAGATTATCTCGATTAAATGGTTGCCATTTTAATGTTATTTTTGTTCATCACAACTATATGTCTTAATGTTTTTAATTTGTTATAATCTTTTAAGTAAAATTTGTAGCAAGCCACACAAGATGTCCATTACATCATGTTATTCCGAGAATCCCTGAATAGAAGGAGACTTCTACCTAATATGTTATCTTTATTATAACTTTTCCCAAAGCAACAATGTATCATCACGGATGGTATATCATATATACCTATATGGTAACCAATTACCAAACAACTTTTACAGAAGTGGTAGGCGTTGAGCGATTGAAGTGATGAATCGACAAAGTGGCAGTGCCGAAGGACCCCATAGCATGATGAACGCCTAAAAACTCTCTTTCACGTGCATGTTATTTTACACATGCATGTTATTATGATAAACTATTCATTTGTGAATTAGACAAAGACTCTGAGTCAAGAAGATTGAATAGTTTATCATAAATGAATAGTGTAAAAGAATAATAGTTTATGAAATAAGGATATAGTTGTCAAATGATGTCATTGCCACCTCCTCCATGTTCTACACCTGCAAATTAATAATTCAATCAAGACTTCCATGAAAATAGAGCATATATATCTAGGAAGATCGGCCTTGAATATGTCTATAAGATCAGTAGAGTTACCATATTACTCATTTTATTTTAGTTTTTAATATTAACAATTGTTCTTCATGAAATTTGAACTCAAAACTTCTTCAAATCAACATAAAAATTCAGCGACACTAGACCAAATGATGATTGACGATACCTAGTATTGTTAATTATAGGCCATGACTTTTTATTTATTTATTTGTTTGGGATAAGTTGATTGTACCAAAAACCAAAGTATACATACAAACCCAATTCAATCAAGAATTGAATGTCTGAAAAAACAAACCAGAGCTGTCTTGAATCTGTTACCCAAAACGATTGGAGGCCCAAACAGAATCAATGCCATGACAAGAGCCTAAGGAAGCACCATTCATTGTCACAAAGTAGTTGGACACAGCACAAGGTTAAGGAGGTGGCAATGACATGTTATAGACAACATGTAGATCCAGATTGTATTAATCTTTTATGGGTATTTGGTTTTGGTGATTAATTGTTGAGTACAATTATCGCTAATTTTCAACAACAAAAGAAGTTTGTCAATGAAAAAAATATGTCAACCACCAAAAGAAGGTTCGAACTCTCATTTAGATTTGTCCAACCAAAAAAAAAAACCTCTTCATTTAGAGGTGAATGTTATTCAGAAGCCCCTTTAATTTTATTAATTTCCCTTAACTTGTGGTTAGAGAAGACAATATGAAAGAGATCAACGAGGAGATTGGCATCTTTGATATCATAGCCAAAGATGGTCCAACTAATGGCATCTTTGACATCTTTGAAATCAACGAGGAGATTGGCATCTTTGAGATCTCAAATTTGAACTCCTATGACATATTGGTTGTGTGTGTGAGAGAAAACCTCTCCCTTATAATTTAGAGTATCGCTTGTACAAAAAAGAAAAGAAAAAAAACGTAAAAAGGCTGATGATATTGGTGATGATCTCATCTCATGTAACTTATCAACATCATATGAATTTATCTGCCTGGATCTTCTTCTTTTTTGGGTCGATTATTTGCCTGGATCTGGCTGTATTGTATATGCTTATTTTTGTTACTTAGATCCCTGCCACTTCCTGCCCTAAACACTATTTTCGACCTTCATCATTTTAATGGCTACATGTAAGACCCTTACAAGTTGGCATAGGCTACAAGTTGGCATAGGCCATGGCATGGTTCCATGCCAAGGCAAGCCATGGGTACGTAGGAGGTGCACTCGTGAAGCAACACAAGGTCGGAAGACGTGTTTGGGGCTGGGAATTGGCAGCCAAGACATAGCAGCAAGGCAGCGTAGTGCGCAAGGCAGACATGCGCAGCGCAGTGCGCAATGCGCAAGGCAGGTTGCGCAGCGCACGTAGGCAGCTGGCGGCTGGACGTGGCTGTTTGGCTAGAAACGTGCTATAGTGGGTCTAGGACGTGGCAAAACGGTTTTTGAGCAGTCCATGGGTGGTTGGGCATGGCTAGAGTTGCTACATGCTTAAAACTCGAGTTGTGGCTTATCTTGGAGCATTAGTGGGCGGTTACTTGGTAGTGGCAGATTGTTCCAAGGAGTGGGAAGATTTTTAAGGAGAAAAATCTACCCCATGACATGAGTGGGCTGCAAGGTGGCGGCTTGAGAGTGCTAGACAGGTTTTGAGTGGGGGAAAACGTGTCTAGGTGGCTGATCTAACGGTTGGCAAAGTTTCCTAAGTAGATAGGGGTGTCATCTACATAGTGTAGGCTTATAAATACCTTGTGAAGGTGTGTGGTTGAGATACCAAGTAATGTGGTAATCCAGCTGAAAGTGAAAACTTGTAATCCTTTGCTATTGTGAATAGAAGGTTGGGAGCTTTCCCGTATATGTGTGTGCAAAAGTTTCATGCGTGAGGCAAGTCTCACTTGTGTGCGTTGGTATCACTTGTTCCGCTGCGTGCACTCTGAAGCTTCACAGGTTTGGAGGTGAAGAGAAGGCTGACTTAGGAGGAGTCTAAGTGTCGGACAAGGGTTGAAAAATTAAAGTCGTTTTTCACCCCACTACCCACACTTGTTAGTCATGCAAGCCAAATGGTACATACGCTTCAATTTAACCTTGTAGTGTGAGTCTTGTGTCAGCGCGTGATGCAATTCAGCATATACGAAACTCTCATCACTGGTTGAGATTGCGTCACGGGTCGAATTCTTTCCTATAAATTATTGAATAGGTTCAATAAATGGGGATTTGATTTTGCTGACCTGCATTTGATCACCAATGTTGACAATGAACGTATGTGGCATGGGCTTGACTGCAACCCATCTGCCATTGTTGAAGACCTGGAAGCCTGCCACATCATCTTGAAGGAGAAAGGTGACGACATTAGGATCAGCATGACCAGGTAAGCCATAGGTCAGCTCCGGCTGAGGGCATTCACTACTACGTTTCACTATTTGCGCGACGAAACATTGCGCGACGAAGATAAACTCGTCGCGCAAACCATAATTGCGCGACGAAAACACATATTCGTCGCTCAATGCACGGAAAATTTGCGCCACCAAACTTTTTCGTCGAGCAAAAGGTATATGCGCGACAAACAAATTTTTCGTCGCGCAAACTGAGTTAAAAAAAGCGGGGGGAATTTTTTTAGCGCGAAACATTTGCGCGACGAGAAATATCGTCGCTGAAGGCAACATTGCGCGACGAACACA